AAAATTTGCACATAGGTTCATAATTGTTAAAATCAGATAATTTAAGCCAAATATAACAGTTGACAGACCGTGCTAGAACCACGGAACTCTGGAATGCCTAACACCTTCTCCCGGGTTAATAGAATTCCTTACTCAGATTTCTGGTTCGCGGACTGTAATACAGAGTCAATCTTTTCCTCGATTCGGGATTCAACCGGTGACTTGGGACACCATAAATCTCCCAAGTGGCGACTCTAAATCTTTAATAATAAATCCCGTTTCGATTGTCCTTTAATTGGNNNNGGTGCATTTATGTGACGTGGTTCAAGACTTGTTTTAATGACGTTGCAATTTTCTTTAAAAATGAATAAAAGCAGTTAAGGTTAAAATTTGCACATAGGTTCATAATTGTTAAAATCAGATAATTTAAGCCAAATATAACAGTTGACAGACCGTGCTAGAACCACGGAACTCTGGAATGCCTAACACCTTCTCCCGGGTTAATAGAATTCCTTACTCAGATTTCTGGTTCGCGGACTGTAATACAGAGTCAATCTTTTCCTCGATTCGGGATTCAACCGGTGACTTGGGACACCATAAATCTCCCAAGTGGCGACTCTAAATCTTTAATAATAAATCCCGTTTCGATTGTCCTTTAATTGGAAAAACTCCCTTATGTCCTTGCGGGTGTAGGTAAAAAGGAGGTGTGACAACATTAAAACTGAAATTACATTAGATAACATAAAACATAAGTTTAGTAATGAATATGTCAAATTTGGAGAGTCAACTGCAATAGAAAATATGAAGAGATTTTGTCGAGCTGTCGTAGAGGTTTTTGGCGATCACTATTTGAGATCACCAACAACTAACGATGTTGCAAGGTTTCTGTACATCAGTGAACAACATGGTTTTCCAGGAATGCTAGGCAGTTTAGATTGCATGCATTGGAGATGGAAAAATTGTCCAACAGCATGGGCTGGACAATATGCAGGTCGTAGTGGATCCCCAATAATTATTCTTGAAGCTGTAGCTGATTACGACCTTTGGATATGACATGCATATTTTGGTATGCCCGACACCAACAGTGACATTAATGTTTTAGAATCATTACATTCATTCTCCAATCTCTCAATGGTATTGCTCCTCCAACGCGTAATGTTATTCAAGGAAAAGAATATGACATCGGTGATTATTTAGCTGACAGTATATATCCAAAATGGTCTACTACTGTGCAAACTATTCGGGAGCCACGTTCAGCAAAGAAGAAATATTTTGCAATGAAACAAGAATCATGTCGAAAAGATGTTGAACGTCATTCAGAGTTTTGCAATCTCGTTTTGCAATTGTTGCAGGTCCGTCACGTTTTTGGAGAAAAGAGGTGTTACGTGATATAATGACCACATGTATTATACTGCACAACATGATAATTGAGGACGAGCGTGATCTTAATGCACCAATTGAAGATGCACGTGAATGTCCAGCTCCTACGGTAGAAATGACAGTAGATGAAGATCACCGATTTGAACAATTTTTAGCTCGACACAAAAAAATTAAGGATAAAGATGCGCATTTCGCACTTCATAAAGCATTAATCGAGCATTTATGGGAGAATAGAGGCGAAAGTTGAATATTTTATGTGGTATTTAAATTAAATTTGACTATAATGTAATATTTATTTAATTATCTTTTATCAATGATTTCACTTTTAGTTGATTTATCCTTTAAAATAATTTTTTAATAAATGATTATATAAGTGGTGAATGTGAATTATATGTGATGAATATGGAAAAAAGAAAAAAAGATAGAATTTGTTTGAAGGAAATAAAAAATAAAATTTAAATAGAAGATAATAATATAATATAGAAGAGAGAGAAGAAATATTCTTTTTTGGTATAAAAAATGGTGTAATGATTGGAGTAAATTTGATGTTATCCCATTTTGGTTTGAAATTTGGTGTTAGGGTTGGAGATGGTCTTAGACCCTAAGTACTTTCAAACAATAGTTTAGTCCTTGATGGGCCAGCTAGCTTTTATTATATTTCTTCCCTCGTTTCTCACATTGCTCATACAGTATGATTACACTATTATTTATTAGCTTATAATCCTAGAAAATAAACAATTTGAGCTACTTATTTTGTGTACTGAAACGAAAAATTGATTAACAGGTGAAGTGGGTATACATACTGTTACGCAACGCCTTCCTGATGATCTTTGGAAGGGCAACGTAAGGCTAAGCAAC